TCGAAACTTTTTGGATTTCCTGTAACTGGATCAAATATGGGTAACGCCCTTGGATTTCTCTACGGAAAATGCTGCAAACCCACAACGACCGATGATTCTCTCGGTCCTCATGGCGTCTCCGCCGCAACCGTCGGTGTTTCAGCTCTCGCTCACGATCTCTTCAACTTCGAGATCACTTCCAAGGTCTCTTCAATTTCTCTTTAAAAGCTACTAAATTTCCTTTGATCTACTTCTCCTGCTTTCGTTTTCAGCCTCTTTTAGTTGTTACCCAGTGATCTTTAGCTAATTAAGTGCTTAAAGGTGCTCTCTTTACTGAATTATGTCCAAAAAGATCTTTAGCTGATTTAGTTTTGTTTTCAGATATTGTAACAAGTTCTGCAACTGGGTTTTGCTTAAATTGATCATGACTATTACTTTTAGGTTCCTGAAGGGCTTGGGAGATATGTTGTTTCGTCTAGAAAAGCTCAAGCAAATTGGTAAAACAATACAACAATCTTTTTTACATGTTTCTTGTAGTATAAAGATGTGAGCTTTTGTTGTGTAATCAGTAAATCTGCTTGTTGTGTGTATATTCCAAACATTGTGAAGGTATAGAAAAATACTTGTGGCATGGAAGCAAGCGAAACCTCCACCACAGACGGCAGAGGAAGCTTCTAGGCTTGTTACTGAGATCTTGAAAAGGAATCAGAAAGCAGATGTTGAGGTATAAAATGAGTAGCGAGAACATAGGTTTTTTTTATGTTGGAAGAGAACTAAGTGACTGTGTGTGCTGTTTATGAAACAGGGACTTTTGTCTTTCTATGGACTTCCTTTGCCTCATACTCTGGTTGAGGTCTCTACTGAAGCTCCTGTGTCTTTACCTGAAGGGGTTCTTTTTGAATTTCAAACGCTTCCGGTTAGAATCGATTCAGTACCAATTTGAAAGAATGGGAAAAAAACTATAATGTTGCTGATCAAGCTTGTTTAATGTCTATAAAGGTGGATCCAAAGGCTGTGGCAGATGGAGACACCATCACAGTGTATGTCAGTACTTCAGAACCGGTCGTGTCATCTTCTGTTCCAAAGGAAGTAAAGGTTGCAGCAGTTCAAAGAGCAAAAGCACGTGAAACGAGGAATTACACAAGAGCAGATGAACTTCACCAGAAGATCATCGATTCTGGTTACAGGGTGCTAAATATTGAGAATGAGGAAGTGCTTGCTAAGAAATTCAGGATTAGACTAAGGTAAATTCAACTCGTTTCCTTCGTGAGAATCTCAGTTAGATCTGTCATGGTCTCTTTGTTTAAAGAAAAGCTCTTTGGTGATGGAAAAGGAAATAGGGGAATAGATGCACCAGAGAGCCAAATGCCGTTTGGGAAAGAGGCACAAGAAGGGCTCCTTAAGATTGTTCAGTGGAAAAGCTTGAAAGTGTTAGTTTATGGAGAAGATCAATATGGACGATGCGTAGGAGATTTATACTGCAATGGGATTTTTGTTCAGGTAATAAAAGTACTAATCTTTATCATTTTTCTTCCGTTCTGATTAAACTTTGTTTAAACTGATTTTCGAATTTCTTTTGTAGGAGGCAATGCTAAAGAAAGGTCTTGCTTGGCATTACATAGCTTATGATAAGCGCATGGTTCTCGCAAAGGCAAGATCAGTACAACTTGTGCTCCATATACTACAATTTACAAAATCTCTCTAGTTTCTTGGCATACTATTTTTGAGTATGAATCGGTTTTTTTTTATGTGAAAATCAGTGGGAAAAAGAGGCGAGACAGAAACGTATTGGCTTGTGGGCTTCCTCAAATCCAGAGAAGCCATGGGACTGGAGAAAGAATAGACGCGTGTAAACAACGTTTGAACAAAAAACGCAAAACGCAGAACTCAGCGTTTAAAACAATCGAGATTTATAATTATTGAGGGTTATTGAGGGTTTTCTCTAATTCAGCAATCCCATTATGTTGTAAGATGTGTGTAAATGATGTGTAGATCCTAAGTTCAATGAGACATATCACAATTTGCAAACTGATCAAAACAGTAATGTGTTGTAGTGCTACAAATGAAATCTCTTTTATTGAAACAGAGACAATTTGTACTACCTTTCTTTTTGTCATCAAGATTTCATTGAAGCTCTAGTCTAAACCAGAGCAAGCTCAAAAACAGAGCACAACACCTAAAACGTGAATTCGTTTGTTCAGTTTCCTGTTCTGTCAATTCTAAACATAGGACAAATATTTTCCCATGAACAAGAAAATGTAGTCAAAACTGGGTCGGATCAGTACAAGACTGAAACTGCGACTTGTA